ACTTTATTGATCCCGAAATTAATGTTCTGCATTTTTACCATCTCACACGTGAGCACACCGTGAGCTGCTATTCAGGGAGCAGGTGAGGGGTTAAGGGCCTTACTCAAAGGCCCAGAGTGGGGCTGGTTGGTCCAGGGAGTTGAACCGGTGACCTTTCGATTACACTCACCAATATTACAGCAGCTATTGTCATCTTATCTAGTTGTTGAAAAATATGCGTTGTTCAAAATGGTATGTCTGAATAAACAGGAATCAGCTGGATTTCTTGTCAAAACTTTATTCTCAATCTTCTGACTCCAATCAGGTTCATATTGCAGCACAGGCCTCACCATAAGACCTTGGGCTGAACCAAAACAAAACAGAGGAGCCCTGCTCTGAGCAGAGACTCTGCAACACATTAACAACTTCTTCTGAAAACACTTCTCTGCTATAATAATGAATTTATAATGTTCATCTCTTCCTGGTTACACCACCAGAGCTGTTACCTTTTACGTCAGACGTAGAATGTAACTCATTTTGTTTAGGCAAAGAAAGAACACATAATAAGACACACACTAATTCTTTCTCTGCTTTAACCTTACTTACAATGATCAGAAAATATAAAAAACTGCATCTAACATTCAATTGAGTAGTTACAAAACGTCCTTCATAGTTTTAAAGATATTCCAAAAAAATCCTGACGATTTGATAAGATTCAGCGCATACATTCAGGATGGAAGTTGGATTATTGAGGTGGTCAACAAACTATAGGCACATGATCTAATCAACATATTTCACCCCTTGTATGCTTGTTTCATTGCACCAATCACATGTTTGCAAAAACATTGACAGGAAAACTGCTAAAGCCGGCCTTTTCTGTTGTTGGTATTAAAAAAACAGTAAGTTATGTGAGTACTGGTTAAAGCTTCAAAGAGTTACATTTTGCAGACCCCTGCTAGGACCACACTTTGGTCCCTCTGCAGCAACATATAAAATCAACGTCCCCTGCGATAAAAAAAACTGACATTTAGTGAAACAGCCTGATCAGTTATATGGCTAACCCGTTAGCATCAACCCAACTTCAGAACAGCTCATTTGATGGTAACGGTTGCAGAACCCTGGCCTACGGAGACGGGCAGAAAGGGTTCCTCACCTGGACCGATGCAGAACCCAGCGATGATCCCGACCACACAGCCCACGCTGATGTAGCTCAGAAACGAAAACTGCTCCTGAAACCCAAAGTTCAGTCGTAAGCGCTCGACTCACAGTTTCTAACGACTCTTCGTTTATTTGTGCTCAATCATTTAGATTTGATGTAATATATTAGAAACATGATTTGTACCACGCCGCGCTCCTGACATTTACTTCATAATGAGACATAATTACTTTCCTGCTTCTGCTGTTATTTACAGATGCAAACAAGACAATACAAGCTGGTGATGAATATGGAAACTTAAACCAAACAACAACAAAAAAACAAAAATCAATATTTGTAATCAGGCAAATGTTTGTGATTTTATCGTTTGGGAGTGAAAGTAGACAAAAATGTTTTTGTCTGTGTGAGTCTGTTAGCATAAAATCTTATTAACCACTGAATGCATTTTAATGAAACTTGCAGCATGTGTTGGTTTATTATAAATTTACAACTAACTTTGGAACTCAACATGAATCAAGTTAGCTGCCGCAGCCAAATGACTTTAGAAATTACAGAAAATTGGTGCAAATCAATCAGTTTTACACTGACAGAAATATTAGTGTGGTAGTAGCTGAGAGTGATCTCCAACACACATTCTGAGCACTAACTGTAGCCATAAGTAATACTTTAGTACTTGTAGTCAGCTCTGTCTGTGAAGATGTTTTTTTGCCTAAAACTTTTAGCATAAAATGTTGGTGTCAACCCTGTTTTTTAGTAAAATGTTTTATAAAACCACTGAACTGATTTTAAAGCAACTTTTAGACAGTAAATAATTAGGCTTGCATAAGGATGGCAATATGCATTATTTGAAGGAATGTGCATAAATAAACACGTAACTTTGATCACTATTTTTATATTATGTCAAGCTGGTTCTTGTGTAAAAGGAACTCCAAATGAATGTGATATATGACATAATAAATGTAGCAGGCCATAAGAGAGCTGTACCTGGTAGAGGGCTGACACAGTAATTCCTGCACAGCAGAGACCCATAAAAACAAATCCTCCGATTATCAGAGGCCTTCTGCCCAGATGCTCGATAGTGAAACACTGAATGATGAACGACAGAAACAGATGAGTTCATTCGTTTGTTGGCAGGTCAAAACAACAAACACACATTTTTACTCAGCTCCATGTTGACAACAAACACATATTTTTGATTCTATGCTACATTCAGGACTAAACCATTCCATTAAAAATATTTTCTACAAAAACATTGTGAATAAAACCCAAATAATCAGTAAAATACAAAAAAAAGTATCATTATTAGGAATAAATCTATTTTGAAAGCATTTCATTTGCTGGAAAACTAGCAAAAATGTGATTAACACAAAATCAAATCCAACAATAAACTTTTAGTTACTATTTACAGATGTCACATGATAAATAGGGCTAATTAAAAAAGAATTGAATGAGTAAAAATATGTTTCCTCACTCCGAACATCCCTGCGATGACCTCAATGGCACCAGTTCCCACAGTTGTGTACTGAAGGCGAGCTTCTGGGATTCCCGCCCTCCTAAATATTTCATTTGTGTAGAACCAGATCTGAAATTCACAGCAAAAACCCGATTTACTGTGATGAACACGACAAAACTACAGACAAAAACACACCAAGAATCCTGGTTTAACAGCCAAACAACTCTGCTTATTCAAAGCGTCCACATGGTTCATCAGAGTGATTATTTTTCATCGGGCCGACCATCACTTATGCATTTGAGAAACTGCGTTTCATGAGCAGGGATTGCTGACAAGTGCTCCCCTTGAAATTAATTTGCGTGTTCTCATCAATCACACTTTGCTGATGCAACATCCATCATTGATGAGGTGCGGAGAAGTTCAACGCTGTCTTGTTGATTTAGTAACCAAACGTGTTGCTTTACATCAACACTGCAGCTTTGAAGTATGAATACACAAACTCCAAACAGACCCAAGTATTTGTTTTAAACATGTATGTACAGTATGTCATTTTAAAGGTAAATATAAAGGGGTTATGAAATCATGGTCTTGACTTCTGAATTATAATTTGTTCTTCAAATAACTTTTATACTCTAACAGCTTTTTTTAAGTAACAAGATAAAATACAGCCCAGTACCTAAGAGACGTATCAGGTATGTACACAGTAACTAGTACTTATATCATATGTACAGGGTGGTACTTACAAGATATGAACTTGTTACGTATCAGGCACATAAATAGCTATTTGCTGTTATGTACCTGGTAGGCACCTGGTACTTAAGGGTACTTAACTGACTCCAGATCAAAGGTGCCCAAACATTTTCCCTGAGAGGGCCACAATTTAAAAATTTTTATTTGGGGGGGTTCAGCCCATGTACAAAGGAGAAAATTTAATATATACTCCGGCAGCAAAGTTTCATGGGATTTTTCATAATTTAAAATTTGAGTATATGGGGTCTTGGTGTGCAAATATGGGCTTAAATCTAATCTAAATGTCTCTGTTACTTGTATTTTATATTTAATCTTAACATAATTACAATCTAGTAACCAGGACAACTGCTGGTGGGCCAAATCAAATGGCTTGGTGAGCCAATTTTGGCCCGCGGACCCCACTTTGGGCTCCTCTTCCTTAGATACAATGTACCTGAAGCTTACCTGGTGTGTAACTGGATATATATAAGCTGCGTACCTGCCACTTATCAGGTACTAACTGGGTACTTATAAGGTACAAACCTGGTACTCATATAGGATGCATACCTAGTAATTACCATGATATTTGACTGGTAAGTACACATGCATAATATCATATGATGCATATACTGTATATATATATATATATATAT